CTTTCTTTAACGACTTTAGGTACCATAAATATTTCGCTTCAGATGTAAGGCGAAGAATTGTATACATCTGGGGGGAAATGGTGTTTTATATTACCAGTTAGAATTTATTCATTCTCCACTTACAAATTAAACGATCTTTGCAGAGAAATTTTCTTCCAACCTAGAGTATACTGAGTTCCGAAAAAAATATGTGTTCCTATCTTGGTAGTTTTGCCAGTTTTTCTTCCTCATATTCCTAAACCTTTTTCTTTCTAAGTCAGCATCTTGCCTACATTGTGCCTTTTCCCCTCGGGTCCCCCTCATTGTGCAGTTGCACTGGTGCGCTCAGGAAACTCCCGGTTCTAACGCTTCGAGAACAGCTACCTGAAAGAATCCCACGCTAACACGTGTGGCGTGAGCGTGCACTCATTTCCTTTCAGGCCTTACATTTCGTCTTTTCCTTGAACGTTGTTTAGAAAAGGAAAGCGAGGTCAATGTGCTGGCAGCAGAGTTAGTTATGGTTGTTACCACATTCTTGAAAAATTGGAGGGAAACCAGGAGAAAGTCCTATGTACGAAATAGTGGCTTCGGCTCCATTCTACCCTTTGCCCTGTCACCCACTCTCAATTTCGTTCCAGAATGGAACCCTGGGGATTTTTTTTTTTTTTTTTTTTGATCCTTTTGTGTGATATTTCCTAGGACGGGTTATTGGAACATGGGATGTGTTACTTTTATATATTTAATTGTATCAGAATTAGGGATCTGGGGGAGGAAAGGGTAGGGTCTGGGTAGGTGTCAGTTCAGGTCCGTGTGTTGAATGATTATTCCTTCTTCTCACCCCACATTACATGATCAGTCATTTAGAAAGGACTTAAAATACTTTGTTGGCCCAACGGCTTTACTAAATCTACATAATTCTGCATAGGCATTCGGTGCCTGAATTTGGGGACCTCACGGTTGTTTATATTTCAGCTCATGATGATAGCTTCTCTTATTTGCTAGAATATGTATGACATATGGACATTCCTTTTCTAGTGTTCCTCAGCTTTTTATTTTGTTCTTCTCTTTTTATGGTACCATAGAACATTTGGGCAATAAAGTACCAGATCGCAGGCAGTCGCAGTATGTGCGTTTGACCCCCAAAGCATGTGTTAGTAATATACAGAAAGAGAAAAGTAAAGGTGTCTAAGTAGATGAATTTTCGAAATGTGCTAAATAAAGTCCCAGATGAATTAGTTGACTGTAACCCGTGGCGGGGGGTTGAAGAGCCTCATGCGCGATGACACTGTGGAGCTTTCAGGTTTGGGTCTACTCAGTTACTGCCTTAAGCTTCTACTTCCGGTGCTTCATAAAGTTATAGGAATGAATCTATGTGGAAAGCTTATCCCAACTTTGGTCCTACAATATTACTCTAAAAGAAAGACAGGGACAAAAAGAAACTGTGAAAGGTGTTTGGCAACGAGCAAGAGAGGGAACTCAGAAACTCTTTGAAGGTCAATTAGCCAGAAAATGTGCTAAAGACTGGGTGCTGTGCGCTGTGCTGGATTATGGGCCCAGGAATTACCCCGAGGTCCGCAGACTGGGCCCGCCCTTTGAGCACAGAGGCAATTACAGACCTTGAGGAGATGCTACAAAGGCTTTAATTAAGGGACTTACTTACACCCCACTACGTTTTGGAAATTAAATTCTCGTTTGTGCTTAACTGATGTTTCTTTTGTCTGGGCTTCTACATGTACTTCAACAGAGAATGTTATTTTCCCCAGATCTTTTTCACGTTGGAAGCCGTTTTACTCTGATGCATATTAGCAAAGCCGAGAGTTTAATCGGCGTAAGGAACTAGGTGGAAAGTGGGTGACAGGCTTTTTGCTAGGGAGCATTTTGGGCACAGGTTGAAAATTGTAGTATTTGTGCATCTTGGTATACCAGAGTGCCAGGGACTCTGGACTTAAACACATGACTGGAAGAAAACAAATGTACTTTGTAGAATTTGGATTTTAGGATTCCCATTCACAGGGCAACTTGGTTTTCCTTGAATTGGTGATTTTATGTCTCTAGACACAGCAGGCTGCTCTTTCTCCAGAAAAGTTTCAGTTCGTTTATTGATGAGACACAAGTAGCCTTTGGCTGTTGTCCAGGTCTGATTTTTCATGAGTCTAGACCTATATTTAGATTCCATTTAGACGTGACTTCTTTTACTTCTGGAAAGATTCCAATTTAAGTTACATCGGTTCTAGCTAGAGCGTTATGATGGCATTGATCTGTCTGCCTTGTGAGCTAAACTACCCTCCTGGTGATGGCGAGATGCTCTCAGCTTTGAACTGGGGCCTAATTGCTGTCTTACGAGGTGTGCTCCCTTTGTTTTGTTAGTGAAGTAGTTCTCTGCCTGACCTTCTTTGAAGTAATTCACTTCTGCCTGCAAAGTTTGGCTCGAATCATTAAGGTTTTTAAAAAGCACTAAGAAATGCTGGTGTTTTAGGAATTTTAAATGTTCAGTATTTCTAGTTCACATAGAAAATATAACAAGTATAGCACATACAACAAATCAAGCAGTATAATTTTGGGGTTCTCACTGTACCCCTTACAGACTTGAAGGCGCTTTCATGTGTCTCAATTGTTGTCTTGAGAAGGGAACCTCAGCCTTGCTCTAACTGAATAGAGGAGTCAGTAAGAAAATCATAAGTGTTTATATCGTAGTCTGACCTTGTTAGAAATGAAAAATGGCAAGAAAAGTTAAAATTGTCATCATGGGTTAAAGTCTTCAGTTTTCCGTAAAGTGTAGTTTATCCAGAAATCCCATTATTGGGCTTCATTTTTACACGTGGGCAGAAAGGTGAGGATGAATGAATGGGCATCGGATGAGAGGGCAGAGAATGCTGTGGGGCCCACTCCATTCCTCAGCAGCTTCTTTGGGGAGGGTCTGTGGGCCCAGGGGCAGTTTGCGGTGCCATCGTGACCCGGGTGTGTCCATGTGCTGGGCCGAAACCTTTGACGTTTATGTCACTTAGAATATTCTCATCCTCGGATATGAATATTTTCGTCTGACTGAGTGCCTCACTGATTAATGAGCTAAAGCAAAGTTTGGTCCATACTCCTGGAGAGAGGGGCAGCTGGCATTGTCATGCTTGCTAACTAGAGAAGAAAGTAAACTGAATGTTGCCAAAAAGTACTGACTCAAAAAGTTGTTTGATGGAGTAAAAATTCTAAGTTCTTATCTCTTAGGCTTTATTTTGCTAATACTGTCAGAACTAGCACATCTGGCTTCGATTTTGAAATAGCCTGTTTTTATGCTTCAGTTAAAATGAATCCAATCAAACTGGAATTTGAAGATAGATAAAAGGATGTTGGTACAGTGAGGATTCTTAAACATAGCAAGGTTATCAGTGAAGGTCTTGAAAACTTCCTTTCTGAATGGCCTTTAAAAATAGGCTGACGTCTTGTTCAGATGGCGTAGGTTCTTCAGATACAGTCCGTACAGAGGGCGCCAGGGGAGGGGACAGACGGCTTCTTCGCAGTCCTTTTAGTTTGGTGACTCTTGGTTATATTGCTCACCATCAATATTTCATCCGAACGTCACTTGTCATTTGATGAATTATTTGGAGAAGGGAATAGTAGTATTGTCTTTTAAGTTAGGTTTTCGTTTTGATAGAATTAAAATACACAATCTTTATCAGATTTCACAAGAGTCATCTCACTGAAGCTCCATATTATCGAGTTTGGTTTCCATATCGAGGCCCTTCCCCAGGTATAGATTAGTACATGTAGCCCAATAAAAATGACGTTCAGATGCAGTTCATTGAAATTCATGCTTTCATAGACAGCAAGGCAGAATTGTTTAGTTTGGGGGGAATGTGGAAAACAGACCACCTTATATTTCAACCAGCTTGCTTTGGGATTATTTAAGAATGACAAAACTTTTTCTGGAGTATGCCGACCCTCCTGTGCTGATCAGGAACTACGTGTGATTGTCCTGTGTCTCCGTGCTGTTGGGGGTAGTACCCTGGCGGTAGCATCCCCCACTGCCCCCGACTCCACCCCCAGTTCCGTATTTCTTCATTACGCTGACCTTGGAGCCATTAGTAAGACTCAGCAGTTTGCTCTTTCATAAATAATTCACTCTTTCTGAAACGGCAGGCTGGAGGCTCGTGGCCCAGCTCTGCTGGATATTTCTAGTTCGTGCCAGTAAGCGTTTGGGTTGGATCAGTCAGGAGCTGTGGGCCTGATCCATTTTCAAGTTTGTGGTCAGAGAAGTGAGTCGGCATTTTTTTTTTAACTTTAGTGGAGTCGAGCATCGATAAACTCTTGGCACTGGTAATTTAGTGAACCTGGAGTGGGCCTCTATTTCTGTTTTTAGCTGTTTAGGAACTGTTACTGGTTTGGTAAGGTTTCCCTCCAGACGAAGAGAGAACTTTCTGCTTGTCTGGAGGTAAATCGGGATCCGCCCAGACGCGCTGGGGGCCGGTCCTCACTGTGGCATCGCAGCGGATGCTCCGAAACGGCCTGGACGGCTTCTCCGAAGAGCCTGGGTCACATTCTGGCAACAGGGCCCGAGCCTGCTGCTGATGACGTGTGGCTGGTATTTCTCTGGAACAAGATAGGAAAGAGGGATATTCTGAATAGTTCATGAATTCAGTGGAGACTTTTTATCCAGCAAGAATTACTATGGAAAAACCTGTTTTAAAACAGGTTGTTCCCATGCAGAGGTCATCAGCTTTACATTTCATTTTCTCCTTTGTCCTGTTTCAGGACCAGTTCTGTGTCCAAGCACAGTTCCCCTTTACCCTTCAGCCTCCTTTTCTTCATCTTTCCTGCCTGGACCCCTGGGATACAAAAACACTAGGCCCCGACTCTCATATTTGCCCCTAAGCTGCTCTTTTTAAAGACTAGAACGTGCGAGGAAGCACCGTCATTTCACAGCCAGTAGTTTATAGTTATTTTTAAAGTAGACTAGACTAGTGAGCTTGTAGTATCAAATGTCTGCTGATATTTTTGCCAGAAGAAACATTGATTTTTCTGTTTTTCAGGCCCTGCTTTCTTCCCTGGGCGATGTGCTGAAATCTTTGCCAGAGGTCAGAGTGTCGGCAAGCTGGGGGTCCTTCATCCCGACGTTATCACCAAGTTTGAGCTGACCATGCCCTGCTCCTCCCTGGAAATCAATATCGAGCCCTTTTTGTGAAGATGGGTCTCTGTCGTGTGCGCCCCTCCCCCCCCCAACTCTAGTGTCCTTTTCTCTTCTCCTGGTGTTCCTTTGTCCTCTGCCCCCAGGAACAGCCATTTGTGGGTTAGTGTCTAATAAAGCAGGGCGCCGTCCGGCTCTGAGGCCATGCGTGCCGCCCACTCCCCACTCGGGGCCACTCGTGCAGTTGTGTCTGGCTGCAGCCTTGTTGGCGGGCGCGGCCCGGTGGAGCAGCGCACTGGCAGGGGTCAGCAACCCTCCTCGGACCGTCAGGGCTTCAGCTGTCCTCACATCCTCCTGCAGAGCAAGTTCCCATACCTTTGCTGCCGATGGCACAGGGTGGTTGATGAGAGTGCGTGTTGCATTCATGTCTCATGATGGATTTTTTAATTTTCTACACTTGACATGTGTTCATCATTGGGAAACGATAAAATAGTATTTTTAGAAAACTTTTTAGAAGTAGTGGTGGTCTAGTAGTTATCGCCTTTGTCAAGATAAAAGAAAAATCTGCAACACAGGTATTCAAAATATTTGAGTACATGGGTATTTTCTGCTCTGCTGCCGAGACAGGGCACACGCACCGTGGACCAGCTCTGCGGGAAGAGGTTGTCACCAGCGTGCTATGAACACTAGGAAACCATGAAAAACTTATTTTTGCCATAAGCTACACATTTTACTCTAATTAGAAAATTATAGTTTTAAACATTTAATTGAACTATTCATTTCTGTTATTATCTAGGGAGGTATTAGATCTTCTCTGGTTAAGCCTCTCTGAATCCACCTTAGCTCACCTCCTACTTTACTTTCATAGGTACCATCTATTGAAAAGAGCTGGGCCTAATGTTAGAGAAAAGTGCTCAATAACTCTTGAGATGATATGGGACAAAATGTAAAACTTAAAAGTGCAGTAGAAATAGCAACGACAGACAAGAATTATATTAATGGAGCTTTTGCTGAGCCCACTCCTAAGAAAATACCCAGTCACGTCCCTTCCCGGAATCAGGGCAGCCCTGTCCAGCTTAGCAAAATTTGTAAACACAGACTTCCATCTATTCCTTCCCAATTCTGTAATAAGCGGATTCTTACAAAATTTAAAATATGAAATAGGCTAAAAAAAAAAAAAGCTTGCCAAAAGGTTTGTATCCAGCATACATGAAGAGTTCTTAGAACTTAAGACAACCCGATTTTTAAAAAATGGACAACAAATTTGAATAGACATTTTCCAAAAGAAGAGAAATGAAATATGCACATGAAAAGATGCTCAACATTAGTCATGAGGAAAATGCAAATAAAAACCACAACACAAATTGAAATGGCTAAAATTGAATAAACTAGTTATACCAAATGTTGGTGGGATTGTGAAAAATGATAATAGCCACTTTGGAAAATAGTTTGGCAGTTTCTTAAAACATGAAACATACACCTACTATCCAGCCATTCTCCTTGGTTTACTTGTATGGTCATACAAAGATTTTTATGCAGAGGTTCATAAAGTGTTATTCACAGTAGCCACAACCCAAATGTTCATCAACAGATGACTGGATACATAAATTATCGTATATCCAGACTATGGAATACATCTCAACAATGAAAAAGGAATGAACTACTGATACTCAAAACATGAATGCATCTCAAAGCACTATGCTAAGTGAAAGAAGGCAGACACAAAAATCTATATGCCATTCCGTTTAGGCATTGCATTTCTAGAAAAGCCCAGGGCAGATTGGTTGGCTGATACTCATGGAAGGGAACAGACTACAAAGGGTTAGGAGGAAACTTTGGGGTGCTGGAAACATTCTATACCTTAATCGAGGTGGTAGTTAGGATGTATGTTATGTTATACCTCAGTGAAGCTGGGAGAAAAGTTAATGCAACACACAATGTTTTAATGATTTTACACAACACCGGCAGATGCATGCATAGGGTAAAAGAGCATGAATTTTAGAGTCGGCCTGGCTGCTCAAGATGGCTTATTGGCCCACTACTGTTAGTGAGACATTCTCCACTAGTTTGGGGTTTACTGGGATTAAATCATGGTTCACGGATCATGTGATAGCCATTGTTGAAGTGGGCGGGACCATTTGTACTATTAGCAGCCAGTCACCTGGGTCAGTTTTGGATGGTCAGAAACTACTTGGAATGAAAACCCCACTGATACCTAATTGTATATCCCAGCATGACGGGGGAAAGATCAGTGCCATCCATCATGTGGATGTTTGCCCTCTGAAGCAGGAAACAGTAGGAAGGAAAACAATATTGGTCCCTTAGAAGAAATGAGCCTTCAGCGTGCGAGCCGAGGCTCCACAGCCAGATCACCTTACACTTGTCCCGGGTGAGGCATTTGAACTGGAGCCAGAGCAGTCGGCACTGCCAGGAAGTCTTTACTGGAGAAGACGCACCTAAGGAGAAACTGGGAGCCCTCGTATTAAAGGGAAATTAGATATAATTGATTCTTGTTCCTGCTTACGGATAACTCCCACAGCCTGAAATTCCTGCACGACTTCAGTTTATACAGTATTTTCACACGTGATCTTGTTTCAACGTTTTAATTTATTGGTTTAACAATCAAAGGAGGTAGTTAGAATAGGAATCCTCCCTGATTTGTAGAACAGTCGACCTTCAGAGATTAATGATGTGCCCAAAAGTCACATGGCTAATAAGTTGGATTGAGACCTAATAAGAGTGACTAGGAGTCCACGAGCACTCAGTGTTCTTTGTGTCATTGACCTAATCCAAAATGTTGAGCTATTTCCATGAGTTTTTTATATAAAAGATACAGGACACAAAAAGTTAACAAATCTTTAACACCACTACTTTATACAAAGTAAGGCCTTCTCAAGCTAATCTGCCCTTCCTCAATCCCCTGAAGTAAGTAACCGCTGCTAACAATTTAGCTTGTGTTGTCTGACATTTCCCTTGTGTGGACTGTCAGCTACATGTGCTCACGTTTGTGAGCCATGCTCTACTTACTGGTTTGCAGCAAGTTTTGATTTTTATTTTACCTACTGTAGCTCATGACATTTCACTTACTATGTCCCATGTTTCCAGCTCAGTACCTGCAGACCTACCTCATTTTAAATGATGCAATATTCCATTGTATGGATGTCTGTAATTTATTCAACTGTTCCTCCATTGATGGACATTCTCTTGTTTACAACTCTGCAATTACAGTGCTCCAATGGACTTTGATATATGTCTCCCTAAAAGCACTGGCTTAGGGACCACTAAAAACCAGTTCCAAAAACAAGACTGTAAACATCCACATCTGGCACTTGAGAAGACACATTCACAGATGCATGGGGATACTAAGGAATTTCTTAGATGTGGCTTTTGTCCTTGAGCAACGTGTTATCCCAGGAGGTCAGATTCCTAGACATGTAAGGCATGTTACATGACTGTCCCTACCTTTTAAACAGGAGCAGCTTAACTAGGAACCAGCCAGCTTACCTGCTTTTCCTGCCTCAGCAGTGATGGGCTCTGTTGGTTGCTGAGAGCACCGCCCACAGTCTTGCTTCTCAGTCTTCGCCTCTGTTCCTGGTGTTTTCTATACACACCCCTAATCCCGACGCTTGGGTATTGACTTGGCTCTTTTGTCCATTTTATCCAAAAGCAGACAGGTGGCCTTAATGGGACACAATTGCCTTCCACAAAATATGCCCTATAACAAGAAAAGTTATCTAACACATCTGATCTTATTCTAAGTTATGGTTTGTTATAAGGCATTAGAATGACTACATTATTGAAAAAGGGGGAGGCCACCACACGTCATACAATTCATGGCAGCAGTACACCTCTGTGACAGCCTGAGCAGCTCCCTAAGGCCCCTGACCAGTCGGCATGTGAAAATGGGCCTCCTTGGATAAAGGTAGAGGGGCCGAAGGGCCAGCGCTTGACAAGCCACAAGAAAGGGCAAAGCACCCCCAGAGCACATTTGAGTTTCCACTACTGCCATAGTCTCCTCTCCTTTACTGCTGCCATATTGTACTCTTTGACTTTGCAGTCAAGAGAGAGGAGGACTGAACGTCATAGTGAGACAGTGGTTGAATGAGTATCTCTCGCAAAGGGCCTGGTTGAATACTGTCTGGCTAAAGCCCTGTATGTTTTCTCTCCCCCGTGAGACCAATGTAGTGTGAGAACATGCTCAAGGCCTACACTCGGGTTCCTCACTCCATCCATAGGTTTGGCCTCCATTGTCGCTAAGGAAATCAGGAACATGATGTGATTCTGCATTAGGAAATACTTTAAAAAAGCCCCCATGTCAGGAGGCACTTGTAATGTTACTGCTACAGCATTGGAATCACTAGAGGACTTGTCAGATATACAAAGCAAAGTTATCCTTTAAGGCAGAGAAGTGAAGACGTTGAGGATATGTGCCTGTTTGATACCAAACCTTGTCGCAAATTTCCTACATTCCACAAGTCACAACTTTGTTACAAGGAACGAAAATATGCTCACCCCTGAAATAAGCACCTGTTTAAGGCCGGCAAGAAACCAGTTGTTAAGGATGCAAAGCTGGGTCACCATCCACACTGTGCTGGATACACGCGGGGTAAGAGACCAGTCGAGACGGATGGGATGGATTAGAGATTTCTTGGCTGTGTTGGTTGGACAGAACATTTAAACAAGAAGCACTTGGGGTGACCCTGAGACGGATGAAGCAAGAAAAGCCAGATAGGAATGTGTCCCGTTAGCAAATCGTTACATGGGGAGGAGAGAGGTGGTGTAGGGAGATAACCTGAGGAAAACGCAGCATGACAGCTGTCGCGAGGAGGCCCTGGATCGAGGTCTGTACTGGGGCAGAGAGAAATCGATCATGGATCATCTAGACTTGGCTTTCTCTCTGATCGTCAAGGTGCTTCAGCATCTAGCCAATCCATACACACTTTCTTCTTTCTTCCCAAGGAACATGCTCCTACTTTGCGTAGCCCATCTAGAAATCGGATGAAATATGTAATGGTTTTCAAGACACTGGATGTCAGCGATGAAGTCCAATGACCCCCTGAGATACCGGAAACAAATACTGTGACACCTGTGATTACCCAGCTTCCTGCCCAGAGAGCCTCCTGGCTGTGGTGCGGGGTGAGGGCCCCAGGCAGAATGTGGAAGGCTCCGGGAGCTGAGGAGATGCACAGAAGCCAAGGCAGCTGGAGTTGGCAGAGAAAATGAAAGACTCGCACAGAGATTTGCAGAGGGCCCCCTGGAGTCTGAAGTTGAGTACTGATCAGCACATGCACATGAGAGAACCACCCTGTCACAGAGGACACTGCATGTAACCATCCATAAGGAACTGAGGGGACAATCCTGGAGGTGGCACAGGCCAGAGCTAGAAAGCCTCAGGAGTCACGAGGCGATGGGGAGATACTCAAGCATTTGGCGTCGGTGCTGGGGAAAACCTACTCTAGACTAAACGTTACTCTGTTTCCACCTAAAAAATCTTCCAAACAAGACCCAGGAGAACCACACTGTTCCCCAGGAATGAAGTGCATCCCAGAACAAAGCTTAAGAAGGTTTCTAGTGATGCAAAGATATCCAGCACCCAATAATGTTAAATCCACAGTACCTGGCATCCAAAAATAAAAAACAAAAAAACCAGGCAAGCAAAGAAGCCAGAAAATACAGTGCTCAATGAGGAAGGGGGAAAAAATGAATCAAAGACTAAAAATGTCATGGATGATAAAATTAATAGACAAGGATATTATTATAACTATTCCATATGTTCAAGAGTCAGAAGAAAGACTGAACAAGCAGAGACATTAGAGATTTATGTTTTGAATTCCTGGAGATGAACACTATGCTGTCTGAGATAGAAAAGAACAAACTGATGAAAATAATACTAATACCTATTAAATAGCAGAATTGATTGACTTCATGAGAATTTTATATTGAGCTGTTTTTCCCCCCACAACAAAAATAGCTTTCTAGCCAAACATTTTTATCAGTATCTAATTAAGATAGCTGAAACAGTCTGTGTGTAGTGTGCCCTGAGCATAATTTGCCCCATTCACAGTGAGACCCATCTGGTTCCCATGTGACTAAGAGACACTGCAGACTGAACACACAGGAGACCGCCTGTTGAAGCTCACGGGTGCAGGTTGTGGGCATGAAGGTGGCACCAAAGTCACCCTGCCCCACCCTCATCGACTGGAGGCTAGCTTTGTCATGAGACACTGACATTCTTTGAACGCCTCCACTGGGGAAGAACCCAGCTTCTGCTCCAACCACGGGGACCCTGATATCTTAGCAACAAAGAGCAAGGCCAGCAGATGTGTTGAGTGTATGCACTAAAGCAAGCTTATAGCCGGAACTCCTAGCTACATCCTTGCTTTTCTTGTTTATTTTTGCATACCATATAGACAGGCGTGGAAAAGGAAAAAAGATTTTTGGCTTCATATAGCTCCCTTGTCTCATGTGGCTACAGTTTTAAGAATGCAACATTCTATTCATGGTTCACATCCAACTCTCATTCTTCATATGCATCCCGTAAACAGTCACGCCTGTGCTACAGGTGTGCCCCACTTTAAGAAAACAATGGAGGCAGGGTGTATCCACAGAAATTCATTAAAGAGCCTTATGTTTTCAGAAATGAAGAATGGCCATGTGATTTTTCAACAGCAAATCCCTCGGCGCACTTAAAATTCAAGTTTTAAAAACCTGAACACAGGCAGCTTTTAGGAAAACACCTATTCTCTAAAACAAGATACATCTACACCCCTATTCCACTTGGTTCTGGTGGGCTTCAGTCAAACTCATTAGAGATGCACGAAGCATTTACAGGTCTCTCAGACAGCCAGGCTCATGGCAAAATATTTAAATGAGATTTCACAGGACTGTTTTAGGGAACTGAGCAAAGAGGACGGAGAAAGGCATCAAGGACACGGGCTGACGTCTGCCGTGACATCTGCCGAGACGAGTAAGGACATGGGGGCGAAGCCATGCATGAGAGGCTGGGTGGCGAGAGGGGCCGTGGCCCGCTGCAGACTGTTAAAATACTCGAGCAAGTAAAAATGAGACTGAAATCACCTTTAGACGTCACCTCCTCCGAATGGTCCCGCTTGAATGCAGGAAAGGGACTGAGGGGTTTCTCGTGCTTCCTTCCTGTCCCTGTGATTTGGTTCTGTGTGTCAAAGCCCTTGCTCATCATTTGTCCCGCCCCTGCCACCACAGCTGTTCCCACACACGATCACCAGCATGGGTTTGGTTTGGATTCTCCTTGCAAAAGCCGGATGGAGGTGTTCGGGGGAGCGTCTCTGGCCAGCTGTGCTCTCCCATGGAGCATCACCACGGGCCTGCTTCCCACCACATCCCTGTGCACACTCTTCGGCTCCTTAACCCTGGCTCCCGCGTGCCCTCTGCCGGGAACCTCCCTCGTGGTCCTGCGAATTTAACTGCCCCTCGGCCCCCCACGGCACCGTTCTTTTCCCGACAGCCCTAACACCCTGGCCCCCGAATCGTGATCCTCTGGGCCCGCGTCTCCGCTGTCCCAGGAGAGCTCCACAGGGCACAGCGGGTCTCGCCCAGAGGCACCGGCCCAAGTGGTCCAGCATATTCAGCATCAAATACATACTGTTCGAAGTACAAACAGCATCCTAGCCTTGGCCTTGCACATAAGAGTATCTGCTTCCTGTACCCTTTCAACTAGCAAATTTGCACTTCTTGAAGGCAGAACATGTCATTGTCATGCTGTGGATGTGAAATCGGGTGGTGTGTGTTTGGTTCAGCAAATAGTGTTGTTACCCGTGAAAACTCCCATAGTTACCTTATCTAGCAGTAGCTATAACATTAACCTTTCCACACATAGTGGCATTTCGCTCTGCATATGCTGAAAGGACGCTCTTTAGTATCAAGAACTTAGAGGAGGGAATTTAGGCATGCAAACGTACCACCTGTGACCGCTGTGACACCAACGTTTGCGTGTGATGGCTTTACGGCAGCAACAGAGAGTTGTATGGCTTCTGTATATTTTTGTCTCCTCTTTTCAACTCGAGTCCAACAAACCCTGATTAAAAAAAAAAGTCTAGGGGAAAAAAGTTCAAGGAAGCAGAACACTGGCTTTTAAAGCACTTAATACGTCGTAATCGAACAAAACTGATTTTATTTTTAAAAGAATAAATTTACATAACGGCACCTAAGCAAGACAGCTGAAAGCTTCCAAAACAGAACCCCCGAGCACATGACCCTGCGACCCCACCTGCTTTGATGATGCCCAGGAAACATTAGTCTCCGATTTGGGCGAGAAGACCTCACAGTGTGACCGTCAGACGTGGTTTCAGCCACCCCAGTTTGAGGGGTTTTCCTTCAGGAGTCTCTACTCTTTTTCTTCTGCGTGTTCTTCATGGCATAGGTCTGAGCACCACGGGCACGAAACGACCGCTGCGTAGAATAACAGTTGCAGAATGGACATCCCGGGCGGAGCGGCCGTGGGAGGCTGGGGGCAGGGTGAGGACAGCCAAGAAAGGCGCAGGCTGTGCCACCTGGCTCCCGGAGGGCCAGGCGTCTGAGGGCTTTGGTGTCACAAGTTCCGAATGCAGGGCTGACCACACCCCAGGTCTTCGGCTTATATCAGACACACTGTGGTTAGTTTGACTTTTAAGCTCTTCATCGCCACGACTCTGGATCAAGAGAGAGAGGTTTTAAAGGACCAAGACTGAGGGTAAACCGCCGGGGGGCAGTCTTTTCCCAGAGAGAAAATCCAGATGTCTTAAAAGAAAACCAAGGTGAATTCCGAAGAGCCGTGTGTGGCGTGTGTGGAGAAGCTAGTGACTGCGAGGGTGTGAGACAGACGGAGTGAAGGACCGTGTGAGAAATGAGACAGAGAGCTGGCGGAGCCCGAGCTCAGCAAGTACACTTGGCCTCACCAGTATATACTGTTTACCCTCCAGCTGCTGTAATAAGAGACTTTAAAAAGTGATCGACCATGACAAATCCTATGGTCATTCTTTAAATGTGCCCTGGGTAGGATATCCATCCTCAATCTAAACTGTGTAAGTAAATACAGCCTTGAATACCTCAGTACAGCCAACTGGCCTTCCTACTGGAACTTAAAAGAGACGGGCAGTAAAAATTTTATACTCTGTGCAGGTGAGCGCACAAGTGAATCGCCAATACCTACTGCTGTGACAACAATTACAGATCCTCTTTTCAAAAGATACAAATGAAGAATGATCTTTTTGTCTGTTGGCTTCAGAAAAATCAACTGAAATCATTTCACGTAACTGTCCAGTGCTACGATCTCTGGTTGAGGGGGAAGGAGTCACAGGAAAGTGCCTCATTTACTGAACAGGGTGGGGGTGAGGGAGGGGCCCGGGGTGGGGGGGTGCCTGTATGCTGGGCTCTCCCCAGGTGCCCACCCCGCTATCATAATGCAGCAAATCCTAGGCAGTTGGATGTAAAAATACTCAAACAGCAGGCCATTTCCATTTCTGCCTTCTAATGATGAAAAGTGTGAGAAGAATGTGAAGGAAAACCAGGATGTTTTACTAAAAATGATTCATCTCAGGAAACTGGAGCACTAAGTCAAAGAGCAACGATCATCCCAGCAGTAAGGCCAGGGGACATACTCGAGGTCGGGGCGGACGTGGTTTCAGTTTTCACACTGGATGCAGAAGTAAAGAGCCTAACTTTCGAGGCAGGCTAATTTTTCCCCTAAGTGTGTGCATAGTGATGATGTGTTAAGATTATAAATCACCGCTTCAGTGGCTCAGGCAGTGGACCGCAAAAAATACTTTGTCAATGACATATTTACACTACTTGTCGCTACTTGTTCCATACTGTTAATAACAGAGGAGGAGCCCTGTGCAGGAAAGTGGGGGAACCCCACCCCCGGGGTTCGCCTTGTGGCTGCATTCCTGAGCCAGTCTGAGGACTCGCCCCAGTGTAAAGGTGGGTCGTTTGGTTGGCTTGTTTTCCCAAAAGAGGCTGACGTTATTCTTGCATTAATTACCCTTAGAATGGGCAGGAGATAAGAGGTGGGAAGCGGGTAAAGGGAGCCCCTGATTCTATTTACTAGATGAAAAAAGGATTTACAGGAAATAACTGAGAAATGGAGGAGCGATGTCAGGGAGGCCTCGTCAGGATCGGGCGATGACCCAAGGTCTAGTCCTTCTTGGTCAGGCCCCGGGAGGGTTGTTCATCGGTTCTTTTGCTGATCCACTTTCCCATGCAGACGACGATGCCATCTCAGTTTGCAAGGAACAAACAAACGAGCTGACGCTGGGCAGAGAGGACTTATCCCCGGAGCGGGAGAGCAGGACAGAGAAGCCCAGAGGTACCTGCCGTGGATGAAGGCTGACCCCATCTTCCTGGTGTGGCGGGAGCAGCCAGTTGGTTTCATGAATCAGAAGAGCATCGTGCAGGTACCTGGAGCCTTGTGAATGCACAAACGAGGAGAAGCAGAACCCCATTTCAGTATCCACGCCTGCGGAGACGGGGCTGTATGAGGGAAGCAGGCAATTGCCCGTGACCTTGTGGCTTCACCCCCGCCTTTCATGGCTTTGCAGGGAGGTTTGCTGTGTTCTTACCACTCGAGCGGGCGGCCTGTCACTTTCATCATAATGACAAGAAAGTCACCCTATCAAAGGGACGCAGTTTTACATGGCTCCACCCTCTCTCCCGGCCCTAAGTTCCAATTTCGGAAATGGGACTCAGTGCTGGGCAAGGTCATAACTGAAAAGAAATGCTCGACCTCCAGTCTTTCAGATCCTGCCCATCTCTCCAGAGCTTGGTGGGGCTGGTGGCCGTTCTTAAAATCCAGGCCACGATTCCTGCCGATTCATGATTTGGTCCAAAGTCCCAGTTAACAGACAGAGTAGGGAGACCGTAGAGAACTTGACCGTGGATTTTAGCCTGGCTTCCCCCGGAGCGTGACTCCTACATCCTAACAGTGACTACGAGGCAATTTTTCCTTTCCTACAGCAGCTGCATTTATCACAGATATTAGCAAAACAGACAGGACTTTAGGATTTTTTTTTTTTTTTAAGAAAAATGTGTTGTCAAGACTTGCCCCACTCAGTATCTTTGCCCTTGTCCAGTGGGTTAATTTCCAACTGTTCGAGGTTCAGAGTAATCCCAAAAACCTGTGCAGCATTGGCACAATGGTGGTCGCACAGATGCCGACAGACGTGTAGGTGACAAACTTGTAAGGCACTTCGATCTCCAGTCTCTGCCTGGCCTCCTTGTTCCTGGTCAGCACCTTGAACCACGAGTATAACACCTGCAGTGAGAGATTCTGTACAAGCTGACGGACCAGGAGGATCAACACAATTCCCACAGCAAATTTGGTCAGACCTAACACTACCATGTCGGTGGTGAGCGATGGGATGTTCCGAATAACAGGGAGAGATTGCGTGGACTCGGACACGAGCTGGAAAAAATGGTTGATCCAGAATCCTATGGTGGTTCCAGCCCCAGCGGCCAGAATGGTGGTGGTGTCCGCTCTGGTGGGGCTGTAGTAATCAGACACGGGGTAATTGTAACACAGGAAGAATGGCACGATGATGGCACACACAGGGAAGAGAGGGCTGGCCGAGTCCAGGTGGTCGATCAGGGTCCAGGCAGGGTAGGTGAGGACGATGAGGACCGCGGTGATCAGGACGCCACCCAGCACATCCTGCGGGAAGGAGACAAAGGCAGGCCATGAGCCAATGAGTGTCTCCCCATATGCAAATATAATTTGGTGTCGAATATGATTGATTTGACATTTAAATGCCAATACTGACATTGTTTTATTGTACAATACATGTTAACAAAATGTAACGTCGCAAAAATTTTGAAAATAGGAAAAATACAAACAACAATCACTCTATTCGCGTTGTGTATTATCTTCCAGTTTTTTTTTTGTTGTTGTTTGGGGAATAAATCCTATATTTGTTTTCTTAATGCATAGCTATAATCGCATGGTTCCTTCAGTCTATTACTTTTGATTTACCGCTACATGACAAGCGTTGTCATAATCTTCACGGAGGTGGCATCCTCCTTTCTTGGCAGGCGGGGAGGGGCTGGGGCTGCAGCTGGCTGGAAGAGGAAGTTAGCTTTTGGGGGAGCAGTGGCCACGCCATTCCTTACAGGGTTTGTTTATGTGGGGTGGTCTGAGAAGACCTTTTAAATGGGGTGGTGCCAACGCGCCATCATGCCGGCCTTGGCCCCACTCCATCTCCAGTGACAGAATTGCAAACACTGTGCACACCGATTCATTGAGCGGTCGGACCATGCTCGATTTAATCAATTCTTCTTTAGAACATTTTGGATTGTGGTTTTCTTTCTTCCTCTGTTCCTCCCTCTCTCCTTCCCTTTTTCCTCATCCCCTCTCTCTCTCTCTCCTTTCCTTCCTTCCTTAAATGCCTGTTTAAAATATCTTTAACCCCTTAATGTCATCCATTTTCGGCTTTCTTTAGTATCCTCACTGCAAAATTTATTAGAAGATGAAGTCGATATAATTAATAGACAAATACATCTAAGTCAGAGAATGAGGAGTTTGCTGTGAAGTTTTATGTCCATTATTTTAAAAGTTTAGATGGAAAACTTTCCACATTTCCCCCAACGCATTGGAAAATCTGAACGATGCCGAAAAAGTAATACACGTGCATTGTAGAAAATCTGGAAAACACCTCTAATATGCAGCTTAATGTTACCCTGAGCTTCCTGGCTCTCCTCTGACCCCTAAGAAGTCTCTCCTCTTCCCACATCCCAAGCCTTTCCATAGATCCTGTCTTCGAGCCCTGTGTCTTTTCTCCCTTGAAGTTTGTTTGGGTCCGTGGCTTTGTCTCTTCATTCTCTATCAGTGGGACACTCATACCTATGTCTTCAGATCTCTCTCTCAAACTTCAGTCTTGTATTTTTTTTTAATGAATTGCTAGACATTTCCATCCAGATGTCCCATTAGCCCCCTAAACCAACTTGTCCAAAATAAAAATCACCCGCAACCAAGAAGAAAAATGACTAAAGGAAAACGAGCAGCTTATAGAAAAGAAAACATGAATACCTCTTAAACATACGAAAATGTGCCTAAACTTCGTCATAAGTGAAAATTAGACTATACTGAGGAGAAATGGAAACTTATGTTCACACAAAAAAATCAGTACATGCACGTTGACAGCAGTTCTACTAACAATCAGCGCAAACTGGGAATGACCGCAGTGGCATTCACGGGGCGAATGGGTCAGCAAACTGGGACAAGCACACAATGGAATATTCCTCAGCAATAGAAAGCAACCAGGTGCTGATGCACGCGACGGCTGGGGTGAAATCTCCAGGAAATCACGCGGAGCAGAGGAAGCTGATCTCTAAGGGCTACATGCCGTATGGTTCTATTTATACAAAGTTCTCTACAAGACACGACTATAGTGAGAGGAACTGGACCAGTGGTTGCCAGGGTCTAGAGGTGGGGGACATGTGACGACAAAGGGGGAGCACATGGGAGTTTTGGGGGGCATTGATGGAACTCTTCAGGGTGGTGGTCCATTTTACTGTTAATTAAAAAAATAAATAAAAGAAATTCCATTTCAAACAAAAATTCAAAAGCTGGTGGGCTCTTTTTACTTTTTTGCCACCGAATAATACTTTTGGCGTGTCTACTGCTGCGTGGAAAACACTGTGCTGGACACTAAGAGATTCCTCGTGTGTCGCCTTCCACCCTCCCCTCCACACAGGTGAGAGGATGCCCCCTCACCTACCTGCTTTCACAACAACCCAGAGATTCGACATTCTGATGACGGGACAGGGTGGGTAATAAGACACTTTGTCCATTAATAACACGAACGCAAAGTGGCACCGTCCTTATGGGGAGAAACATGGCAATATTTTTTTTTTAATGACATGTTCATTTAACCTCTGACCCAAAACCTCGCTCTGGGAGTGAACCGTGGAGATACACCTGCCCACGTCTGAAATGAGGCATTAACAAGTCATCCACTGCAGTTTCCTCGTAATAGCGAGAGACTGGAAACACGCCAAGTTCCACCCGCAGAGACCGGCCGAATCTACCAAGGTGTGAACGGTCACACATGGGCCGCTCTGCAGCGGGGAAGAGGATGAGGCGGCTCTGACGTGGAGCGTTAAAAAGGTGGGAGAACATAGAATCATTTTTACCTGAACACACGGTACCTTCAGGCGCCTTTTGCATTTTATGTCAGGTAAACATGTTGTCTCCTTAAAAAATATAAGTAAAAGAGAAGTCTTTCCAAACGGGATCTGCCTTTCAATTCCCATGTGAAGTGGGGATCCCAGGCGAGCCTGGCACTGTCCTCTGAAGGGGACTGAGCATATATGGTGAATGCGGGGAGGGGTGGCCTGCCAAATGTCACCTGCTGAGGACTGAGAGCATCTTGTCTGCGTGCTTTAAAGGAAGATGCAGTTTGAGGGAAGACAGAGAGCCAGGCACAATGAGCTCAACACCCCAAATAGCCTCTCATCTCTCAGCCGGGGGAGAAGATGCTGCCTCTCGAATGGTCCCCTGGCAGCCTCACTGGACTTCACGTCTGGCCCTGAAGGAAGGCAGGGATGAAAGTCATTCTGCCTCAGTCTAGAAAATGCAGAGCTAGGGGCTGCTTTGAAACCTCTCTGGCAGAGGGCTCTCCAAAAGAAAGAAAGAATCCACCCTTTCTCATACCCTGGGCCAGGGGTCCCTGACCCCTGGGCTGTGGACCGGTACTGGTCTGTGGCTTGTTAGGAACCGGGCTACACAAACAAGAAGTGGGCAAGAGAGTAGTTTCCTATGCGTTTGCAGCCACTCCCCAGGGCCAGCATCACCGCCTCAGCTCCACCTCAGATCCTCAGGCATTAGATTCTCATAGGATCATCAGTCCCTGGTGCCAAAAAGGCTGAGGACCACCGGTCCACATGGGCACTTTCTCACACCACCCGGCAGGATGAAGGCAGAGCACCTGCGTCATTTACTTCGGCCCTTGAATCACAGTCATGGGCACTGACTTGCTTTCCCTGGGAAGACAGCTGGAGAGATGCGGGTGACATGCAGATCAGTGGGAATGGGTGCTGGCACTGGGAAGTCGCTGTGGTACTCAGAGCGACAGCAGCATCCCCTAGACCAGCAGGCGGGCAATTCCTGCCAACGCCAGGTTGCTGCGGGGCCTGGAGGGCCATGGACAAGACCAAGACACCCAAGGTCACGGCCTGGGCAGAGGGGAAGGGACCCAGCAAAGTGACCTGACACCAGGGCATCGGACAGAGCAACGGTGGCGCTAGGGGGCTCAGACTGTTTCATGGGCACATGTGAGACTCCCTTGGAAAACTCCAGAAATATTTTGTGGGGGCATTTCTGTTAAGGGGGTTTTGCAGAGGGTTGGAGGTTCAGAGTGATCCTGCAGGTACTCAGAGAAATTCAAATATTATCCATATTTCTGCTGGTGACGCCCCAGGCTCCCTGCCAAAGCAGCGCAGAGTCCCGATGGTGATATCTGACTGCTCCTTCCTCTCCCCACCCATCACCACCAGTCAGCGCATTCCACAGGCTCCTCCTTCATCCACACACTCCTGCTTCCTGTGATCAGAGTTCAGATCTCCATTTCACCTCCTGCCTGCCATTCTCTTGCCCCAAGGCATTCACTGACTGCCTTCCTGATGGCTGTTTCAATAACAAATGTTCCCCGATTTTAATGTGCATTAGAATCGCCCAGGGAGATTTGAAAATGCAGGCTCCAAGCAGCTGCCCTCTGGTTCTCTGACCTGAAGTGAGGCTCAGAAGTCTGCATGTTAACACTCTGAGGAAATGCTGATGGAACGAGCTGAAATAGAAAACTGAGAGACACTCACCTACCAAGTGAGAGTCAGAGTCGTGCATGAGATGGGTTTAGCTAAGCTAGCATTCCAGGGTTTTCTCACTACTGTCCAACTTGAACTTTCCGCTACAGTCAAGTAGGTCTACTCGCTTTCCCCAAATATGCTGAGGACAATTTCATCGCCATGGTTTTTGCATTCCTTTTATATACAGCACGCTTTAACTGTCTCTACTTAACGAGATCATATCAGTTCACTTAAGGCTCAGCTCAAAAGCTGCTTCCTTTCTAAAACATCTCCACATGTCACCACGGTTGGAAATAACCTCTCCCTGAACTGAATGGGAAGGTGCTTGCTTAATATCACTCAGAAGGCCATTCCCTTATAGTGCCTTTGCTGCAGGTTCTGTGTCCACATGCTTTCCCCTGAGTTGATTATAAAACTAATCGGTAAAGACAAGTCTCTTGCATTATTCTTCCAACTTCCTAGTGCAGTGCCTAACATGTAGCAGACATTGAGTCATAGTGACTGGGAAAATTCAACGTCTTTTTCTTATCCTGAATATCCATAATATTTAATACCCACTGAATTCACCTTTCTTCTGTCTTCCTTTGTAATTTCAGTTATCAAACTAGACTATTCCTTATAAACTAATTCTGTTCATCTTCAAAGCATCAAGAGGGTGGACTATTTTGGTTCACAGCCCCAGCATTTGAGGCCAAAGTAATTTTAGCCAACACAGCTGCTGGTATAGAGTTTTTTCCTTCTACCCACACAATTAGATTTTCAGCCATAAAAGATGATATTGTAATGAAGGCATTTTTAGGCATTTTTGTAAAGAAAATACTTGAACCATTGCTGATGAGACTTCTAAGTTGG